TGAGCGGCCGCGAGTACCACGCCGTATCCGAGGCGATATCCACCGCAGCCTTGAACTTCTTGAAGCGCTGCCCCAGCCGATCCCTGGTGATCTCTGGGATGCGAGCGTCGAGCTCCTGATCCACCTCTCCGCCGTGGTCGCCGACGCCCCTGCCGTCGCGATGAGCGATGAGCTCCCCCTTGCCACCCTGCAGGATGAGACCGGAGTGCCCGCCGACAGCCTGGCCATCGCCCGTCGGGCTCTCGAGAGCCTCGCCCCTGGGCCCGCTGCAGTCATGCCCGCGGCGGAACGGCGCAAGCAAACGGCCCGCCCCGAACGTCAGGCCGATGTCCTCGCCGACTTCGAGCGCAACGGCATCCTCTGGGCGGACGGCCGGAGGTGACAGTGGAGCCGCTGCTGCGCCCAAGGGGGCGTTTGTGCCCTCGTCGGCAGCGCCCCCACGGGCCGCCTCGACAAGAGCCTCAATGCCGCCATCGTCGTCCAATGTGGGAATCGATCTCCGATGATTCTGAGCTCGACACGCTGCTCGAGTTCGCTCGCACGGGCATGGGCGCGGCACCTGGCCAAATTCGTAGACCCGACCCAAATGCGACTGAAGGCCCAGGCACTGCTCGCGGATCGACCCCCTCGAGGTCGCATGGCGCGATCGCGAAGAGTGGACGGGAACTCGACTCCTCTGGGTAGATGCCCCCAACCGGCGTCATCACCCACATGATAGTAGCGGTCGGGACGTCGGCGCTCTCGCCCATGATGCTCTCCAAGGTGGCGGCGTCGCTGGATTCGAGGAGCAATTTCTTGTGCCACAAGCGTCTTTCGGGGTCGTATTTCACGACGATCTCTCGGCCTGGGCCCATGAAGCTCGCTGGCAAGTCTGTCATGCCTGCGTCCGTACTAGGCGTGCCCAGCTGCCCCGACGACGATGCCCACAACAAGAGTCACCAGGCCGAACATATACGGAGACCCCAGCTAACTTCTCTGCATCGCACACGTCAAAGCCCAGGACGCTATCGGCGATAGGGTGGGCAACGCCAATTTCGCGGCCTCCCAAAGGGTATAGGAGGCTGTCAGAAACGTGCACATCAGGCGTCGCCGCCTCGAAAACACTTGAGCGTAAACGTTGCGGCCACGACTCGCGCCGGCGCCGTCTGGGAATGAACCATCCTCAGATATTCCCAAAAAGGCGCCGCCGCGAATCCCGACGTGGCAAGCCACCTCCCTGGCAACGCCGACTACAGTCAGCCTGCTACCATAAGGAACGATGAATAAGGAGCTACGGTTTTTTTCTGGCCGCGGCGAGCCTTGGTCACAAATGGCTCCCCGACGTAGATCGAAGGAACACCCCGTAAACCAGAGCCTGTCCCGATATTCAGCTCCAGATATTCAACGGTTGCCTTCCAACGGGGCACTTCCTTCAATGAAAATTACCCCAGTGCGACCCTACCTGGAAGTTGGAGCCCCTAGGAAAGCAGCATTAGTTGCTATGCTATGCTATGATATGCTATGCGATGCCATGCTATGCTGCGCTATGCTATGCTATGCTGCGCTATGCTGCGCTATGCTATGCTATGCTATGCTATGATATGCTATGCTATGTCATGCTGCGCTGTGCTATGCTAAACTACGCTATGCTATGCTATGTTATGCTAAGCTGCGCTATGCTATCCTATAATATTCTCTGCTCTGCTATGCTATGCTGTGCTATGCTGCGCTGTGCTATGCTGTGCTGTATTGTGCGGCGCTATGCTATGCTGTGCTATGCTGAGCTATGCTATGCTGGGCTATGCTATGATATGCTGTGCTGCGCTATGCTATGCTACGCTATGCTACGCTATGCTATGCTATGCTGTGCTCTGCTATGCTAACGCTCAGCGAAGCTGAAGGTAAGCTAAGCTAAGATAAAACTGAGGTAATATGAAGCTAAGCGAAGGTAATATTAAATAAGCTAAGCTAAGATGAGATAAGCAACGCGAAGCTAAGAGAACGTCACTGGGGGGACCGCGGGGCGGATGCCGGGGGAACCGCCTGGGGCGTGCCCCACTGCCCGGCCCTTTAAGCACATTACCCAAGTGCCACCCTACCTAGAAGTTGGAGCCCCTAGGACAGCAGCATTAGTTGCTATGCTTTGCTATGCTATGCTATGCCATGCTATGCCATGCTATGCTGCGCTATGCTATGCTATGCTGTGCTATACTATGCTGCGCTATGCTATGCTATGCTATGCTAAGCTATGCCATGCTGCGCTGTGCTATGCTAAGCTACGCTATGATAAGCTACGCTATGATATGCTATGCTCTGCTAAGCTGCGCTATGCTATGCTATGCTATGATCTGCTCTGCTATGCTATGCTGCGCTGTGCTATGCTATGCTATGCTGTGCTGCGCTATGCTATGCTATGCTGCGCTGAGCTATGCTATGCTGGGCTATGCTATGATATGCTGTGCTGCGCTATGCTATGCTACGCTATGCTATGATGTGCTCTGCTATGCTAAAGCTCAGCGAAGCTAAGATGAAAGTAAGCTAAGCTAAGATAAAACTGAGGTACTATGAAGCTAATCTAAGGTAAGATGAAATAAGTTAAGCAAAGATGAGATAAGCAACGCGAAGCTAAGGGAACGTCACTGGGGGAACCGCGGGGCGGATGCCGGGGGAACCGCCCGGGGCGTGCCCCACTGCCCGGCCCTTTAAGCAAACAAGGTAAGAACCCTGCTAGGCAGAGCCTAGGTAGGGAAAAACAGAGTAAGAACCCTTCTAGGCAGAGCCTGGGTAGGGAATGCACCCTTGCGGGGGCCTGGGAACAGGGAACTTTGAGGGAAGGTTCATCGCAATATTGTTGATGAGTCTTGGATTTACACTGGTCCTCATCCTCCTCGTCGCTCTCCTCCTCCTCCTCCTTCTCATTATCCTCCTCCTCATCCTCCTCCCTCCTCTCCCCCTCCTCATCCTCCTCCTCTTTTTCCTCCTCCTCCTCCTCGTTCTCCTCTTCTTGGCGCTGCCGGGACGCCCAAACGCCGTGACCGCTTCACGGCCCGGCCACCCAGGAAAGCCGGGTCCCTTCCTCGGGACAGGCTCTCCGTCAGAGGCAGAGACAATGGCGACTTAGCCGTATCTCCGAGAACTGAGACACTGGAAACTCCAGATCGGCCCAAAGTCCGGTCCCCAGGCCCCTCCTGGGCTCCAGGCGCACCAATTTTCCGAGCTGCGTCCAGCAGTGGCGACGGAGGCCCACTGCTGGTGTCTCAAACGGCCCTCCGCTGAGTACTGGGAAGTCCTCCGAGGAAGGAGAGATACCGAGACCGCTACGCGTCCCTCGGCGCCACGGCCAAATGCGCCTCGAACTCCTGGTCGGGACGCGCCCCGGGAGGGGCTCGGGGAATAGCGGTATTGGTACCTTTCCGTTCCCCCATGTCCATGGCCTGGCGGTCGTGAGGAAAAGGTTGCAAAGCATGGAGTTCCGCGCGGATTTCTCGGATGGGCGTTGGGGGCCCCTGGCGGCGCCTCTGGCAAGCCCCGCGCGCCAGGGAGAGGGGTCCAACGCCGTTCCAAGAAATCCGCCGACCCCTTGGGGATCATCGGCGTGTGAGATGCTTCCCCCTCCCCAAACCCCTCCCCCGGGAGCCCGGTCCGGTCGATTTGGAGGGGGGGGGGGGGGGGTCCGGCACGAGCGCAGCACGGCCGGGACGAGCGGTTCACGGGGCTTTTCCGGGCCCAAGAGGGCCTCAAGACGGGCCAAGAAGCCCCCAAGAGGCCTCCAAGACGGCCCACGAAGGCCCCGAGACGCCAAACGACCGCTCCAAGACGCCCAAGATGGCCCCAAGACGGGCCAAGAGGTCTCCAAGACGGCCCCCGAGGTCCCAAACAAGCCTCCCAAGAGGGCCCCAAGAGTCTAAAATTGTTGATTTTCCATAGTGTTTTTCGATGTTTTTTGCTTTTCCGCCTTTTCGGCTTCCCGACGCTCCAAGACGGCCAAAGAGGCCCCAAAGACAGCCCCAAGATGGCCCAAGAGGCCCCCAAGACGGCCTCCAGACGGCCCAAGACGGCCCCAACACGGCCCAAGAGGTCCCCAAGACGGCCCAAGAGGGCTCCAAGACGGCACCAAGAGGGGCCCAAGAGGGCGACCAAACATGTTGAAACTCTAGCTTTCTGCCCCCAGGAGCCCCAGGGGGCCCCAAGAGTGCCCCAAGAGGCCCCCAGAGGCCCTCACGAGGCCGCCCAGACGCCCCAAGGAACCCCCAAGAAGCACCCCAGAGGCTCCGAAACGGCCCCCAAGTGGCTCCAAAACTCGCGGTGTCGCCGTCCGCTCGGACCCCCCCGCGGAACTGCCCGAGACCCTCTGGCGGTGGCGGCGAACAGACACCAAACAAATATCACTCGCCTTTTCACCCCTTCGCAGCTTCTACTACCCCCAGATTGGCATAAACAAGGGGTCGGCGGTGTGGCGTAAGCCTAAGAATCAGCACGGAGCTCCGATCATGTATGTTTATGTAGTTCTCTTCTCCGATTCATACCGAAGACATGTCTCGCAGTCGCGAACACTGTGAGCCGAAAACGGGACAAAACCCTTCCATCGTGACTCCGCCACGACGAGATCGACCTGAAATTGGCGATATATCGCCGAGAGATCGTCGATAGGCCCCAGTCGACCGACAAATCCGCACGTTCCTTGGCGGGGCGGGCTATCTGACCGTGCATGGGCGATCGAAGTCCTTGCATTCCCCCCTGAGCCTACATCCGCGAAACGTTGCCCCTGAAGCCATCGCGCCGCCAGCGCTGCTGCTCGAGCGTTGATCGCGTCCCTGGTGGATTTCGGGCCATCACTCGGCTCTCCGTAAGGCCGTTCGGGACCATCTGGGAGCCTTCCGGCGAGGCGCAGCCGCTGGAACGTACCTCGAGCCTGAACAACCGCCGAGGCCCGCCGAACATGCCCGAAGACCCCTAACCTCCAGCCCATCCCCCATAACTGCGCCCCTGAGAAATGAAGAGGATGGCTTCGAGGGAGGAGCCTTGCGCCGCTCGTTGACGATGAGCTTGGCGGACTGGAACGGCTGCTGCGGCTGGCCGCCGGCCGGCGGGGGGATCCGCGCACCCCTTCCCCCTCGTCGGCGTCAACGTCGTCGACGTCACTTCTTGGCTCGGCGCTGTACCCCCCTCCCTTCCTCCCTGGCGCGCGGAGCGCGCCAGGGGCGGCGTCAGGGGCAGCAGCATCGGCATTGATTCCTCTGCTGAGGGGCAACGAAAGGGGGGGGCTGGCATAGGGGGTGATACATCGACCTGGAATCGGCGATACATCGCCGATACATCCTCCGATAGTGAATCCGCACCTTCCTGTGCAGGCTGGGGCTATCGGGCCCCTGTCGGCGATCAATGGGCGATTGGGGGTCGATGCATCTCCCCCTTTGCATATCCCCCCTCCAAGACCCCCGACATCATGATTTTTTCATCACGTCGATCCCCAGAGTTCTCGACCCACTCCCCGGGCCCGGTTTCTCATCCTGAGTCGTTTTTCACAGTCCCGAGGCCCGGCAAGGGCCCATAGAGGCCGAAAATTCTGAAAAACTTCCCGTCGCGATTGCTTCACTGCCCGAGGGGGTCTGGGTCTAGCGCTGCCCCCGAGCTGCTGAGCCTCCCTCCCCGCGAGAGAAGAGGGACCAGATCCGACCCAGACGGCCGGCGCCGCGCCCCTGCGGCCGGCCTGTCTTTTATGTTTCGCCCCGCGAGGCGGTGCGTCCCGACGGTCCCAGGCCCGGCGAGAGGACGAGGATTAATGGGAGGAGGGAGATGGAGGAGGAGGGGGAGGAGGAGGACGAGGAGGGGGAGAAGGAGGGGGAGGCGGAGGAGGAGGGAATGGGAGGGGGAGGAAGAGGGGGGGGGAGGAGGAGGGGGAGGAGAGGGGAGGGGGATGGGAGGAGGAGGAGGAGGAGGAGGAGGAGGGAGGAGGAGGAGGAGGAGAGGAGGAGGGAGGAGGAGGGGGGAGGAGGAGGGGGGAGAGGAAGAAAGGGGGAGGGTGATGAGGGAGGAGGGGCGGGGGGGAAGGAATGGGGGATGCGCCGCACGATGAGGCGGGGCCTGAGCCCGAGGAGGACGACGCCTTCGTAAGTCCCGAGGGGCACGGCCCGCCCGCTGCTGCAAGACGCATGTCGTGATTCCTCTGCATATCGGGAAGGTATTGGGGGGGCAGTTTCCCACCACCACCCACCACCATGAAGTTGGAGGGGAAGGGGTCCTCCCCTCCTCCTCCTCCTCCTCCTCCTCCTCCTCCCTCCCTCCTCCTCCTCCTCCTCCTCCCTCCTCCTCCTGCCTTTCCTGCCCTCCTCCCCTTCCTCCCTATCCTCCCTCCTCTCTTCCTCCCCCTCTCCCTCCCCCCCTCTCCTCCTCCCTCCTCCCTCCTCCCTCCCCCTCCTCCTCCTCCTCCTCCTCCTCCTCCTCCTCCCTCCTCCTCCACCTTCTCCTCCTCATCCCTCCTCTCGTCCGCCTCCATCTTCCCCCCTCCTCCTCGCCCCTCGTCCTCGCTCCTCCTCCTCCTCCTCCTCCTCCTCTCTCTCTCCTTCCCCCTCCTCCGCCCTACCTTCCTCTCCTCCTTCCTCCTCTTTCCTCCTCCTCCTCCTCCTCCTTTTTTTTCCTTTTCCTCCTCCTTCTCCTCCTCCTCCTCCTCCTCCTTTTCCTCCTCCTCCTCCTCCTCCCCCTCCTCCTCGCGGGAGGGAGGAGGAGGAGGAATGATCGCGCCGAGGCCACGCTTTCTCGCACAGCCGCGCAGCCGATGCACGGGGGGGGGCCAGACCTGCTCGCGTCGTGGGCACAAGAGCAGGGCGGGAGGCCCGTGGCGGTGAGCCCGGGTACAATTACAGATGTAAAAATCAGCTGTGTAAAGCCAAGCCAGCACACGATACTCTGATAAGAACAGATACTGTACCTGTCCTACCTCAGATCTAAATATTCACTCTGGTTCGAGTGCCCCGGAAACTCTCAAACCCCAAATTCAAGAGACAAGCGCGTCAGCGCCACCAAACATGATAGTGCCAATTTCCAGCCATCACTTCCATATCAAGATCAAGATCATTGACAGCAGTCTTGCACAATTCTAGCAAGGGTCAATCTTAAGATCAAGATCGAGATCCGCGACAGCATTCTAGCACAACTCATAGAATCCATGGCATCACTTGAACCCAACAAAAAATTGTATTGTCTCTTCTCCTGAGACTTCCTGAATGTCCTTACTCGTTGAGGTCCAACAAATCCTGTTCTGAATATATATCCTGTGTCTTGTTGATCTTCCTCAACGTGATGTACTTGCCCTTCGGTGGAAGTACGTGCCATGCTCCAGTCGTCATGTGCTCCATCAAAAGCTTGGATGTGCCCGTCTTCGTCAGTCCATCCACTATGACTACCTCGGTGGGTAAATGTATGAAGTTACGTATCCTTCCGCTGAGGCGTCCCTCTCTCATACTCAACACTGCGAATCTGATTGGTTTGTCCGATGGTACCTTTCCACTCCACAACATGATTGCCAAAAATCCATACAGCCCGTACAGTGATCAATGCGTATCTGATATAATGGTCGATCAAATATTTCCATCATGTCTGTAGCTTTGTGCTGCGTCTCCGTGCATGTGATGATCTCAGTCAATCTTGGGGCGATGAACTGTGCCGTCTGATTGACCTTGTGGCCTCCATTCGTCTCTGCATTGCAAGTTGACTGGGCGATCCGTTTTTGATTGTCCCAATGAAAACGCCAGTGAGTGAGTCATTCCTCCGACGAAGCGACTGTCGTCGGGGTGCACTAAGTCTTTCTTGTCGATACGTACTTGGTCCAGATGATCTTCCATGAGGAATACAGCAGCACCTTCTTGAGGATATGCTGTCTTCGTATTGCCATGTCCTGCATCTCCAACTGAAACCAAGCGGACTGGATAAGATATTGGTTCGAAGTGTAGTCCAGCCATCTTCATGTTTCGTTTTGCTCGATCGACAATGAGATTGGCCTGCTTCAAATGACCGGTGTTGCTCTTCCGAAGAACCTGCTGTAGCTGCACCGTATCACAATAGATATCTTCCCGAATTTGGCACAGCCATAACAATGAGCATCGCACAGATCGCAGGTCGCGAGTCAACGTCGCGTCGCACTCGTGGTCATGTTTGTCCTTGAACTTCAATGGGATATCGATTTTCTGCAGGCCTTCCGTAAAGACATGTTGGTGAAAAAATATGTGTCCATCTCCAAGTACTTCATAGCCCATGCCCATGTGCGTGAAGGATAGCTGATGTCTTTTGATTTTGCCAAAGCAATTCCTCATAGAACTTAAACTCCAAGGTAACCAGTCTGATCTTGCTAGAACAATAATGTCGTATACGTGGGCTGCCCATACCATCATTATCTCGCCGTTCCTGACCCACATGAACACATTGCCGTCAAACACGCTCTGAACACCTTTCAAGTCGTCGAGTACATGTAGTGCTAGAGCCAACTGCCACAACAGTGGTGCGTCCACGGTGCCGTAGATCGGCTCGAGTAACTGCAGCGTGAAGAACATGATCTCAACCTCGGAGAGAGCGTGATCCACCGCCGCTTTACTGTGGAAAATTGCCAACCTTTTCCTCCGGAACCCCGCCCCCCCCCCCCCCCCCCCCTCCGAAAATCCCCCCCCCCCCCCCCCTGCTGGAACCCCTCCCCCCCCCCCTCTCCCCACCCCCCCACCCCCCCCCCCTAACCCCTCCCCCCCCCCCCTCCCCTCGAAAACCGAGGGGGGTCACTACCGTTTCGATACCCCCCCCCCCCCCCCACCCCCCCCCTCCGGATCCGAAAAACCGGGGGGTCACCACCGGTTGGACCCCCCCCCTCCCCCCCCCTCGAAAACCGGAGAGGGTCACTACCGGTTCGACCCCCCCCCCCCCACCACCGCCAGCAAACGACTCCCGGTCCCCACCACCGTCCGCATCACATCCCCCACTGGTGTTCCCAGCACCACTGTCCTCACCACCACTGTCCCCACTGGTTCCACCACCGTCCCTATTGTCCCCACCAGTGCCCCCACCACTGTCGTGCACTGTCGCACCCCCACTGTTCCCACAACTGTTCCCACCACGGTTCCACTCTCCCCACTGTCTCCACGGACCCAACCACTGCCTATCCCCACTGTCCCCACTGTCCCACTGACTCCTCCGCTGTCCCACTGAGCTGTCCCACTGTTCCACCACTGTCCCCACTGCCCCCACCACTGTCCCCACTGTACCTCTGTCCCATTGTCCCACCGCCGTCCTCGCCGACGCCTTTGCCTTTACCACTTGTCCCTCCACTGTCCCAGTGTTTCCACCTCATTCCCACTGTCCCCACACCGCTGTCCCCACCACCACCGTTCCCACCACTGTCCACTGTCCCCCCTGTTCCCACCATTGTCCCCACCACTGTCCCCGCCACTACCGTCCCCACCGCTGTCCCACTGTCCCCCCGCTGTCCCCACCACTGTCCCGCTGTCCCCTCACCACTGTCCCCACCAACACCGTCCCCACCACTGTCCGCACCCCCACTCGGTTTTCGAGAGGGGGGGGGGGTTCGAACCGGTAGTGACCCCCCCCCCCTTTTCATGATGAACTGGGGGGGGGGAGGGGTTCGAACCGGTAGTGACCCCCCCCGGTTTTCCGGAGGGGGGGGGGGAGGGGTTCGAACCGGTAGTGACCCCCCCCCGGTTTTCCGCCAGCAGCGGTAGAACACGCTCTTTCCAACCTCGGGAATTCTGATGTTGCTCTTCTCGTATTGTCGAAAATGTCTCTCAACATTCGCTGGTGGTTGTAGATGTACTTTCCGCTGCTCTCGAACCTCGATGCCCATCCTCTCGGCGTGCTTCCTGAGCTGCTCGCAATTCAATCCCTGCAAGAAGGCGGTCGAATGTTCCATGTCTCCATGGTTATGTTCTTCTCCGTTGAAAATAAGGATGCCACGATTCGATGGGATAAACGAGAAGCGGCCGATGAGTGCCCCATGGCGTTCTGCTCTTGTGCGTCTAGGAAGCCTCGGCCACACAGGCGTGACTTGATGATGCAGGTGATCTTGTTTTCTTTG